GCAGGAATGTCAGAGAGTTTCCAGGGCCTAGGGCAAGGGTGTGGGTTTTAGATGTGGGAAGATGAGGTGTCTCTATCTGATGGCTCTACTTCATTAGTGCTGAGAGTGAGAGAGAAGGGAACACACTGAACTGCAGCCTGGGGGTCATTTAGGGTCTGCCAAAAGGAAAAGAAAGGGGAGGCAGCAGCATGGGGCTCTGGCTTTGTGCTGCAAGCCGAGCCACCGAGGGACATGGGTGCTGCAGGGTTGCAGTGGAGAGCAGGGGCAAGGGAGCATTCAGAATGATGGGCCATGGGACATTCAGTGCCAAAAGAGAGGTGAGGCCAGGAGGAGGTAGCAATGCAGAGGGGTCCTTGGCCTCAGAGTTTTGATGAGGTTGAAGAACTTAGCAGTGGTGAGACAGTGGCACCTGGCAGGAGGCAGAGCAGGCAAGGAGAGAAGTGTAAGAAGATAGGCACTCAGTGATGGCACAGCTTCTGGTGGGGACCAAGTCCAGGGTATGCCCAGGAAGTGAGGGGCTGAGGGGAGGAGGGAGGACAATGGAGATGAGGACTGCAAAGGCCAGGGTGCTGGTGACTCACCCGTGTGGATGTCGAAGTTATGAGGAATGGCCTGAGTTGGGGTGGAGGGGCCTGAAGAGCCCGGAGCAGAGAATGAGGGGAAATGGCCAGGACAGCAGCTGATGACAGCTTTAGTGGGGAGTGGCTGGTGCTGCTGGAAAAGGGGAAGTGACCGCAAGGAGTTCTCTGATGTGTGCAATGGGAGCAATAATCACCCCAGGGGCAGTGGTGTCCTCAGAAAGCCAGGTTTCAGTTAAGGCAGGAAGGATGGAGGAGGACAGTGATGTCTGCAGTGAAGACTACTGATCACACAGGGTCCAGTGGAAGTGACTGAAGAAAGAGAAGCACTGGGGAAATTCAGGGCACATGGCAACAAAGGAAAGGCTCTCTCAGATGGGTGAAATGGTTGGCAAACACTATGGATCTTCCCGTTTAGCACACTGATGGAGATGCTTTCTTTGGTGGTATGGTGGCCTCTAGGGAGGAAGCTCCTATAGGCTCCATCCCCCATCCATCCACTCACCCCACCCACCCTCCCACATACCCATCCATTTATTCATCTGATCATCTATCTTCCATCCTACCATTCTTCTATCCATACCCTCAATCTTTGGTGTGCACCTCTTTTGTATTAAGGTTAGAAAGATGAATAACATACAGCCTCTGTTCGGATGTGACCAGAAAACCACAGTTCGGTCCAATAAGTGTTCTAACACCATGTGCCTAGGAGGCCAACACTGCCTGAGTAACAGTGACTGCCCCATAGAGAAGGGACTCATGAACTAGACCCTAAAGAGGGAGCTCCACAGGAGGGAAGGAAGTACAAATGTCCAGGGCAAAAAAAATTAGCAGACAGAGACTTCAAAATATGAAAAGCCTGGCACTTTGAGACAATGGTGAGAGGTCTGTTCCTCTCAGATGTGTCAGGAGTTCAAGCTGGAGAGAAGGGGAATAGGCAGAAGGGAGAGGGCTGGGGTCCCCCACTTTATCTTGGAAGCAAAGAGGAGTTGCACAAGGAAGCTGGGCTGACAAATGCCATAGCTCTGTTGCCAGGGTGCCAGGTGCCCTGGAGGAGCACCCCAGAGAAGGGGACCCTTGCTTGGCCTCCCCAGGGACCCCAGGGCAACGCTGCAGGCCTCACCATGCAGGCATACATAACCCAGGGCAGGTGGGTCCTGGCCGCTGCACCTGTCCTCTGGTGCCCACATGCCAGCCTCAGGCCTGACTCCTGACTGGTCCACAGGGACAGCCAGTTCTTTCATCCCCTCACAGGTCCAAACCCAAGTCCATCATTCCCCTCTCCCCCCACTTATGTAGCTCAGAGGCCAGTTTGCCTGGCATGGCTTTATTCACTTTCCACTGCCTGGAAAATCTTACTTCTCTTTCAAAGCCCATCTTAGTGGTGTCTGCCTCGGATTCCTTCCTGGCCCCTCACCACCAGAGCAGAGCCTCCCCACTGTGGGGCTCCTCCACCCCAGCAGCCCTGGGGGTACATGGTGGGGAGGTGTGATGGGGGGCTGGTACCACCGTGGGGAGGAGTGGACCTGGTGGCAGAGCCCAGGGCTACTTTCCCATCTCGGGGCCCCAGGGTGGGGCCACTGTCCTGAGTGCCAGGAGTGGGTGCACTGGATTCGAGTTAAGGAGAGACTTCAGTGTTCATAGCATCTGGCTAGATGAAGGGCTGCCTTCTTAGGGCTGTGGTGTAGTCCAGCTGGAGGGTCTCAGTTTCCCTGGCTGTACTAGGTACTAGTGGGATTAGATGCTGGATGAGGGCCTTCTGCCTCTGACCTACGGTGGTGTGGTACCTAGAAAAGTTTGGCCAGCAGGAGGCACAGAGGGAGAGGCCAGCCAGGCCCTGGCAGCCAACTTGTCCAGGTGATGCTGAAATGAGACCTTGGGGTGCAGAGTGTGCTGTCCTGGTGCCTCTTCCTAGGGCAGCTTGGGGTCAGGGTGGTGTAGAACCAAGTATGGTGGGGATTCCCCCAGCCTCTGCCTCCCACAGTTAGCTGCCAGGGCAAGACCCCAAGCCTCAGGGAGCTGGGCTGGGAAGGGCAGAGGAGCTGAACCTGTAGGACTGGGGGCTGGGGCAGGATAGTGGGCTGTGCCCCCCAGGAGGACAGGGACTTGGGGGAGGGACAGGACGCAGCCCTGGGCCTCCGGCCACACAGTCCTCTCTTCCTGTTGTCTCAGGATGGTCCTGGCAGGATGCATCTGCTAGAGTTCCAGGTCCAGACCGCCCCTGGGGCCTGCTCCCACCCTCCCCCAGGATCACACACACACACACACACACACACACACACACACACAAATTCACATGCGTGCACACGCAGACATGTCAATGACACACACACAAAGTCACACACAACACTCACATATCAGTCCTATAAACACAGATCTATGCACACACAGAGACAACACACACTCACGCACATGCACACACTACACACACTATCCTGCTGGGAGGAGGATGGGGAGTAAGGAGCTGCGTGGGCAGCAGGGCCAAGGTCCTGTAGGGCCACAGGAGGGTGTTTAACCAGGAGAGGCAGTTATCTGTTTGGGGATTAGCCCTTTTGGAGGAATGGGGGGCTGAGACAGGGATAGCAGGGAGAGGAGAGCTGGGGCAGCCAGAGGGCGCCTTGGGGGTGAAGAGAAACTGATGGAACCAAGGACATGTGAGCTGGACTCCAATGGGGAGTAGGAGCTGCGTGGGCAGCAGGGCCAAGGTCCTGTAGGGCCACAGGAGGGTGTTTAACCAGGAGAGGCAGTTATCTGTTTGGGGATTAGCCCTTTTGGAGGAATGGGGGGCTGAGACAGGGATAGCAGGGAGAGGAGAGCTGGGGCAGCCAGAGGGCGCCTTGGGGGTGAAGAGAAACTGATGGAACCAAGGACATGTGAGCTGGACTCCATGGGACATGGGAGAGGGCGAGGTCACAGGCAGAATTCCAGGGAGAAACCGAGGCCTAAGTTCTGGGCATGTTTGGCGGTCTGCACTGTGCAGGTCTCCCTCACAAACAGTAGCTGTGCATCTGGGGGGAGGAGCCTTCAGGCAGAAATGTGGGGGTCGCAATGCCGAGGAGATGTGCTCCAGGCCTCGCCCAATGTAGGATGAGGCCTGTGGTCTCCCCTGTTGACTTCATGTTGGCAGCTCTGCTTATGCGGGGCTAGAGGTTCAGTCCAGGGCTCAATCAGGACTCACTTGAGGCTGGGCCCAGTCTGCGGCCAGGGGGCAACCTCAGGTGGAGGTTACCAGTTGTCTTGGGGCCTTATAGGTACTGCTCAGGGCTGAGAGCCTAGGCAGCCCCTGCCCGGGGAGGGGCTTATCAGCACTGGATGGATGTCATCATGTGAACTCATGACCCAGTCCCATGCTAACCCTATCTCGCACCCCAGGCCTGGCGAGTGGCTACTCCATGACCCCCCCAACCCTGAACATCACAGAGGAGACACACGTCATCGACTCCAGTGACAGCCTGTCCATCTCCTGCAGGTATTCAGCCCTCAGCCAGGAGGGCAGGGGACTGGGTCCCTCCTACCTGGCAGGCCAAGGAGACTACAGAAGGCCAAGCAGATGGTGGCGGAGCACCCAGAAGGCAGCCTCTCCCCAGAGCAGAGGCCTCGAGGCTTAGGGTTGCTTCCAAGTGGCTTGAGTTGTAGGTGCCTGGAGGCATAGACCATCCCCTGCTCTGCAGACACAGGCACCCTGCACCCACCCCCATTTCACCCATACCCACCCCTCATAATTTCCTATAGACCACAGATCAGTCACCCTGCATCCACCCTTGGGTCACCCGACACTGACCCCAGGCCACCCCATGCCCATGCCCAGGTCATCCTGCGTGGACCCCAGGTTGCCTGCACCCACCCTCAGCCACCCTTCATTGGCCCCAGGCCCACCCACACAGACCCCAGACCTGTTATCTTCCCTGCAGCCCCAGCTATAATCTGAGGCTCAGGCTTCTCTGCAGGACAGCCTGCCACATGCAGGCCCAGGAGCCAGGCAGAGGCCCCAAGGGGCTCAGGGAACGCCCTGCCCCAGGTTCATTGTGTGTGCCCAAACGCTGGTCTGCCCTGACCTCTGGGTGAGATAAGCTATGGGCCAGGCTTGGCTCCTGAGGAGGTTCCACAGGGACTGTCCCCCAGGGCTGCAGCCTGGGCCCCCCTTGATGTCCTGCATCCTCTGCCAGGGGGCAGCACCCCCTGGAGTGGGCCTGGCCAGGGGCTCAGGATGCACCAGCCGCCGGGGAGAAGGACGGCGAGGACATGGGGATCGTGCGAGACTGTGAGGGCACAGGTGCCCGGCCCTACTGCAAGGTTCTGCTGCTGCAGCAGGCCCACGCCAATGACACGGGCAGCTACCGCTGCTACTACAAGTATATCAAGGCTCGCATTGAGGGCACCACTGCGGCCAGCACCTACGTATTTGTGAGAGGTGAGAGGGGCCCAGCACTCACCCATGCGGCCACTCAGGAGCCACAGGCAGGGTCCTGGGTCCTGGAGGGGTGGCTGGCACCTGCACCCCCACCCCCAGCCTTTGAACCCCATGGGGGTAGCCTCAGACCTGGGCAGAGACCCCCTGAGCCCCGCCTTCCCCTCCCACAACATGCCCCCTCTCCTCAGACTTGGAGCAGCCATTCATCAACAAACCGGACACACTCCTGGTCAACAGGAAGGACTCCATGTGGGTGCCCTGCCTGGTGTCCATCCCCGGCCTCAACGTCACGCTGCGCTCGGTACAACCCCACGCCAACACCCACCCTGGATCTGGCCCACCAGTCCTGTCCCTGGGGAAACTGCTGCTTCTCTGGCCAAGAGGAAGGGGGCAGCTGGGCGCTGACAGCCACCATGTCTCTACAGCAAAGCTCAGCACTGTGGCCTGATGGGCAGGAGGTGGTGTGGGACGACCGCCGGGGCATGCGTGTGCCCACTCCCCTGCTGCGCGATGCCCTGTACCTGCAATGTGAGACCACTTGGGGCGGCCAGGCCTTCCTATCCAACCCCTTCCTCGTGCATATCACAGGTAGGGGCTGCCTAGGGCTGTAGGGCCCTCCCCCAGCAGCCACTCCCCATGTCCTGGGAGGAGAACTGCAGGAAGAGGACAGGGACCCCCCATTTCACAGCAATGAGGCTATAGGTGCCATGGCTTGGCTGGTCTCAGTGGGTGCCCTGTACTCTGTGCATGTTGTCCTACGAGGGGCATGGGGGTCACTGTGTGTGTGTCACCAGGAAATGAGCTCTATGACATCCAGCTGTTCCCCAAGAAATCACTGGAGCTGCTGGTTGGGGAAAAGCTGGTCCTGAACTGCACGGTGTGGGCTGAGTTCAATTCGGGTGTCACCTTCGACTGGGACTATCCAGGAAAGCAGGTGAGGTCAGCAGCCCTGCCAGGGGCTGTGACTGAATCATCGCCAGGAAGCCCCATCACTACCCACACTCACCCTGGTCCGGCACACACACACCTCGGTGTAGAAGAGGTGCAGACTCAGTCCTGCCCCAGGAGCCCCTGTGTCTGATACAGAAGATTTCCTATCCTGAGGAAAACTCTGGGTCTGGGTCCAAGGCTTCTGGAGCTATTGCTGGCTGGGCTGGGGTGTGTGCCTATGGGGGTTAGTTCTGTCAGAGCCAGCCTGCTCTGACCCTATGCTTCCCCTGGTCCTGGGCAGGCAGAGCGGGGTAAGTGGGTGCCGGAGCGGCGATCCCAGCAGACTCACACAGAGCTCTCCAGCATCCTCACCATCCACAACGTCAGCCAGCACGACTTGGGCCCATATGTGTGTCTGGCCAACAATGGCATCCAGCAATTCCAGGAGAGCACTGAGGTCATTGTGCATGGTACGGCCTGTCAGGTCATTGTGCCCAGCATGGCCTGGGCTAGGTCAGTTGTCAAGCCTGGGGAACAAGAGTTCTTGTGCAGTGTGGGCCCAGGGTCATAGGTCATGGTGCACCTGAGCAGTGTGGCATCCAGCCAGAGGGAAGGGAGGGCCGTGAGTGGACGGACTGCCCAGTTCCCACACCCCAGAAAGCAGGGCATCTGGCCACTGGGGGTGGCTGTGAATCCCTGGGTGGTGGTGGGTCAGCGATGCTGGCCCCAGCCTTACCCTGATGCCTCCCGTCTGGCAGAAAAGCCCTTCATCAGCGTCGAGTGGCTCAAGGGTCCCATCCTGGAGGCCACGGCAGGAGACGAGCTGGTGAAACTGCCCGTGAAGCTGGCAGCATACCCCCCGCCGGAGTTCCAATGGTACCTCCCTCGCTCCTGCCCCTCACTACCCACCAGGTCCAATGCAGAAAAGAACCACAGGGAGGGAAGGGCACCATTCTCCCCATCACGGCCTACTCCTTGAGACTTGGATGGGGAACTGTCCCCACTATCAGGGCCTGCACCCTGGGCGGGGAACCCTTATGAAGATTCTAAGGAATATGCACATAATGTGATATTTTGGCTAGAGGAAACGTTGGCCTGAATTGCCGCTAAACTGTGAAAGAGTGGAAATACCGGTCTCC